CTGATGATATGACCAAGCTCTGCGTTGATGTGCCCTCTCAAAGAAAGGAAAGTGTTAAGGCGGAGAACAAATTCCCATTGTTGCTACCACTGGACTCCTTGGCGTGCCATGGAGCCTCTTACAATGAATCCAGAAATTCAAAGCAAAATCATCCTGCTGGAGACAGAACTCTACGCACAATCAGGGTAAAAGACGAGCCACGGCTGTAGATATTTACACTGTGACTCTGATTTACTGCGCTCTTCACATACATCTTCTCTGTGGTTCTGTTAGATGCCTGTGATGGACTGCTGCACCCTGATTAATGACTTCCAAGGTGGATCTGGTGGGGCGATGTTGTCGGACGTGGCTCTGCAGTCTCATATTTGTGAGTTTTGCCAGGCAGTTTTCCCTGGACACACAACTACAAGAGGAGAGTTCCTACGACATCTGAACACTCACGTCACCTAGATTAAATGAAGTTTCCTCTTGACGTATGACTGACAGTATGTGTTAATATGATAGTCTTTGATGGTGCATGCATAAACCAATCAGTCTGATCCCAGGATTGAAACCTGCAGTTTAGCTTTTTGTCTCTGAATGAACTGTGCAGATGCTGATACAGCTTTTCGGTCTCTTTCGTCTAAAATGAAAGGCAGAAATAGACTTTAGAGCTTAAATGATCACAAAGTTCTGGGAATGGGCATATTAAATACATAACTTCATCTGATTTAAATGAGCAAATTTGCCCTGGTTAAACTGCAGTACGCATGATGTTGGTGGTCCACAGAGTGACTTTTTTAAAAAGCAGCTGTGATGGAAGCTGTCTGAAGATGCCCAAGAACTGACCCTGAGGGGGAGATCAGTCAAATTTATATCGGGTTTGCGTTTTGATTTTTATCAGCCTCTTCCTGGAACCTACTATAATAAAACCACCATGACGTCACTCACTCACCCATTCAGTCTGTGGACTGTTGAAGCCTCATTGAGCATTTTGGCTGTCACCATCTGGGATCCCCCAGGTGGGTCTTACTGAAAAACTGAGGACAGTGCACACCAATGATACCGACTTACACAAACCCCGCTTCACTGTCTGTTTTACTCTAAATGAGACCATAAATCATGAAACGAACATAATGTGAGGCAAGTGTTTACCGAAGTCTTAAATCAAGCAACGTGGCAACATTTTCTCAAAAACTTCTATATAATCTCTATTTATCTGTTCAGAGCATTCAGTAGAAGCAGTCTGTGCAGTCCATAGACTTTATCACTCGCTATTAATCATGGGTACATTACACCTAAGCTCTCTGTGTTTCTGACAAGACACCAGTAGCGTCTTTTCTTTAGGCTATGTAGCGTCAAAGTCAATTTAAGGCAGCTGGTCTTCTTGTATTCTGTGATGTTTTAATGCAGCTAGAAAACACAAACTTTTGCCAAATAAAAGAATCCACTGGATTTTATTCTAAATAAATCTAAGTGTTCAGGGGAATAGGACCCAGAAAAAAGATAGAATAGCCCATTTTCAATTAAGGTTTCTCCCAGTCCTAAAAGCTAACCTTTACCAATAAATAAAATAATAAATATATAAAATATATAAAATAATAAAATCATGGGTTCACAAATTCATGTTTATCTACTTTTGTTGGTTATTTAATTTTTGCATTGCTGATGAAGGCACGTATGGAAAATAAAACCCTAGAAAAAAAGCAAGTAACTCTCCACATGGTGTCATCCTCTTCTAATCTAAAGCAAACCTGTTTAGATGGGTGACTAACCAGCTGATGGTTTATTGTCTGCTGGTTATGTGATGCTAATTTTACATACATCCGTTCTGGATGGAAATGTATTATTTTTTCTTAATTCTTATTCCTAAAAATATGCCACAATTTTAAACAATCTTTTTAAGCCTGGATGTGTAAATGATATCCATTAATAAAAAAGGTACTGATGATTGATATGAAGTTTTCTTGGTTATTCTTTGGAACCACATGTTTATTTGGAACTTTGTGATGTTGCCAAATAAACATGATATGCAGAAATGGCTCATCAGAACTATTCTACTAATCATCACGTCGCAAAAAATGTGAATGCTGATAATGTGAAGTCTTTTAACTTTTAACAGACAATCTGCAATTATTTTATGCCTTTAATCGGATCAGCTGTCTGTTGCTAAGCCGAGTAACAGAGGAAAAAAGACAGATCTAAGAATAGCCTAAAGATTTAACTCCCTAATTAATGGTGCTGACAGCTGATTGATGATGCAGCTCCCTTCATCTGTTGCCACATTGACTGTCTCTCATAATCACACACTAACTTGGATGTAATTGCTATCTTTTAAAAAGCTAAATGCATTTTTTTTACCTTAAAAAATCACTATTTACTACTTTAGAAGTGGTCCAAATGGTAGAGGGATTGTAATTCAATAACAAGACTGTAGCTGTGCTTTGAATGTCAGCACTCTAGCATGCTCAGTGTAATCCAAGCCATGTTCATCCTCTGAGTGTGTTACCATGATAATATTTGCTATTTAGCAGTAAACCACAGAGCAGCTGTGGCTGATGGGAATGCCATGAACATAAGTGCTGGATAAACAGATCATTTGATCAGATGGAGGCAATTCATCCTATGAGGAACATGGATGTCTTGAGGTCAATTTCATTTCTGTGTAGACATGGATTCACTGGTCACTTCATTAGGTACATCTGATAAACAGCTGGTTAATAGAAATATATAATCATCCAATCATACAGCAGCATTTATGAATGTAGACATGGTCTAAACTTTAAATGAGGAATGGTTTTTAGTCCCAGATAGGTTGGCCTGTGCTGATCTGCTGGGATTTCCCTCCATAACCATGACCTAGGGTCAACAGAAAATCGTTTGCAAAAGAGAAAATATCCATTGAGCAGCATTTCTCTGGTTGAAATGCCTTGTGGATGTCAGAGAAGAATAGAATAACTGCTTTGAGCTGTCAGGAAGACAACAGTAACTCAAACAACCACTTACTGCAAACCAAAGTATGCAGAAGAGCATCTCTGACTGTGCAACACATCAAACCTTCATAGAGTAAAGCAGCAGCACACAGGAGCAGGTGCTCTTCCTGCTAGCTAAGAACAGGAAACTGAAGCTACAATTCATACAAAGTCACCAAAAGAAGATGGGAAAAATGTGGCCAGGTCTCCAATTCCGCTGCAGCATTCAGATTAATTTAATAAGTCTACCTGAGTACTGTTGCTAACCATTTCCACACCTTTATGACCACAGTGCACCCATTGTCTGATTTCTGCTTCATAAAGAGAAACATGCCATGTCACAAGGCTCGGATCATCTCAAAATAGTTTCTTGAGAATGGCAATGAGTTCCCTGTACTCAAATGACCTCCACTGTGACCAGATGTCAATCTGGTAGAGCACCTTTGGGATGTGGTGGAGCAGGAGCTTCTATTCATGGGTGGGGGGTTTGCAGTAACTGTGCGATGCTCTCATGTCTATTAGCAAGGTGCACCTAATAAACTGACAGGTGAGTATATTTCAGTCTGGATAACCAACTGAATGAGTCCCTGCACAGTAAAGCTCAGTTCAACATATTAAAACTGCAAATTCTTTTGATTTTTGTTACAGCAATGAACCTCAAAATAATTGAAAATAGCTAAGCTGATCCCTTCAGGTGGTCTGATTCTTGTGTCTGTGTGGTCTCTGGTGAAAAACAGCCGCGTGGAGGAGCAGTGTTGACATCACTGGCACAGGTGAGTCATGCCGGCATCGAGGCTTGATGCGGAGCGTCAGTGCAGCTAACAAGACGACAGCAGAGGTGTTGCTGGCTTTGTGACGCAGCTCCCGCAGCCTCTTGCTCAAACAAGAGCTGCCAAGAAACAACTGAGTCTTTGTGGAAAACGATGCAACACACTGTAGCCTTAATCAGTAAAATAACATTTATTGAGATCTAACAAAATAAATAATCTGTTTGCAACAATGAACTGAGGAGGTTACTAATGCTGAAGAGACGAGCAGGTGTAATGATGCACAGCGGCCTCCCTCTACTCTGAGATTAGAATACAAAATCATAAGACTGTTACACATTTTAACACCCTGTGTGGGGCCCAGAGGTTGATTTCGCTTGTACGAGATGCTCAAGCTCCAGTAGATTTCTCTCCGTAAATTCCTGCCTGTGTTTTAATTCTCCTAATGTGAGATTAGGTATGTGCCTCAGATCACAGAAGAACTGACATACGGTTCACCTCGTTAATCTATGACTACAAAAAATATCATCCCAAAGACAAACTGCCATAGTGTGTTTCCAGTACACCTACAAAAAAAATCCAATCCATAAAAAAAATTATAAATCTTACAACTTAGTTTTGAATGTAGGTTTTTCAAAGGCTATACAATGGTGCCTTTAGTGCACGAGATTAAACTGCAGATGACAGAGAGGAGTAGCTGAGCTCAAAGCCGAATTCTTCCCCCCGCTGAAGGAACCTCGAGCGAGACGCTGTAACCAACCCTGAAAGCTGATTTCACAGTCTACACTGCTCCTGTTTCATGCCACGCAGCTTAGAAACAGTGCTCTGTGTACACTTTCACATAACGAAAGAGGACGAAATGTTGCACCATCATCACTTCAACCATGTGTGCAAGAGAAAGTTGTGAGCGAGGTGTGTTTTTATTTTTTGTTTGTTTTTTTTAAATCTGATGGGATGTAAGCTGATGCAGCAAAAGACAAAAGGCATCTCGTCCTCATAGCTGGGTTTGCCTGCATGCAATCTGGATGAAAACATGTTCCCCCAAAGTCTCTCTTAAAAATATTCTGTCTTTAACACCAGAACATCCGTCTGTTTCCTGAGAGTGAGGAGCTTCAGGGGGGGTTAATCCTACTGCTTTTATGCTCTAACTTGCTGCAAGTGTTATTAACTCATTCACTGCCAGCCATTGGCAGTGAATGAGTTAAACCCATTGACTCATTCACTGCAATTGACGGCTATAGACGTCAATGGCAGTGAATGAGTTAAACCCATTGACTCATTCACTGCAATTGACGGCTATAGACGTCAATGGCAGTGAATGAGTTAAGTACCTCTGCTAAACACAACTACAACGAGTCGCTCAGTGCGGAGGAACTGGAGGATTAGTTTCCAAAGTTGCAGTGCCCCCTGCTGTGGTGAGCCCGTTTTGTCTCAAGCAGGTGGCACATCCAACACACAGCAATGATCACAACAAAGTAATTCAGTTCTTTTTTTGAGCATTTTTTTTCTTATATCAGCTCAAATCTGTGGGACATTTTGTCCATGTGTTAAAAAATAAAACAACAAAAGGAGTCTCTTCCCTGTGTATTCACTGAATATAAAATCAAAAACATTTTCAACTTCATTCACAACCTCAGGATTCAGAAGTCACTGCAGATTTATAATATCAGTTGCTGGTAATTTCTCACATTTCCTGTACTGGCTTGAAGTCAGTAAGAGTCTTCCTCTCCATCAGATGTCAGTGAAGTAAACGTGGCCTGTTTACAAGTCTCTGATTGGAGCTCAGTGGCAGGGCAACGTTTGAGTTCCCTGATAAGCTCCTGAAGGTTTCATTTCCCTCGGTGGTTGGAGTCATCTTTGGTGACACAAGGGCTACTGCTCCTGCACGTTGCTATCGAGCTCTGCCTCTCCACTTTAATGTCATGGTCTGTGGAGAGATGCAAATTTGAAGAGAGGAAAGTACACCAGTCAGCCCCAACATTAAATAACCTCTGACAGGTGAAGTGAATACCAGTGATCACGTCAATACAATCTGGTGATCTGCTGGAAAACTTTTGTGTCTAAGCATTCATGTAGATGCTACTTTGACAAGCACCGACTGACTAAACAGTGATGCAGACCAAGTGTGACACCCCGAACCCAACACGCTGTAAAAAGGGATCAGGAATTACTATAGGAAAAACTCAGAGGTGCTGGTCTGATAGCCATACTCCACAGATTCCAATCTAACTGAGCATTCATGGGAAAAACACATGATTCATGAGGGAAACCCACTGGATCCAAACAAACCTGCTGCTTAAGTCACAGCTCTTGACTCCACATGATACTCCTACAGGTTCACACCGTGACGGATCAGGGATGTTTTCCCAGTTTTAATGCCCTTGCTGATCAGCAAGTACATAAAAAGCACAGAGCGTTAAAAACAACTCCAATCCAAAACAGTTGGTTTTTGGAGGATTAGATTTATTCAGATTGCCTGAATTTTCCTGATTGACGTAAAGGTTGAGGCTAGGTTAGAATCAACAGCACATCACTTTAACAAAAGACAGGCAGACATCACACGGATGAGTATGAGTTAGGACTGCACAGCAATCAAGATTCAACTAGTGATTAAGGGCGTTTAAAAAGCCGTTTGGGGAATTCACCAAGAAGTTCTCCCACATGGAGTGAAGTCATCACGGTTTGTATGACCGAGCAGCTCAATAACAAAATGTCTCCAGAGTTGCACAGACAGAGATAGACTGAGCTGAATTATTATTTTTTGGCTGGTAATAAAGCAGCGATGAAGTCAGCAAATCAAGTGAGCAAGACAGAAAAGACATGAAGAAATAAAAACAGAAGAGGCCGATGATCGCCGTGTTTTTGTAGCGAGCCGACGACGTAAACACACTCGTAAATCTATTTCATTTACTTGCTCCTCGGAGTGTGTGTGCATGTCTGCATAAGACATAAACAGCATTATTTTTAATATGAGAGAGAAAAAAAATCACACCATCAGTAAAACATTGTATCATCGTGAGGATTTAAAAATAAATTATATACATGTAATGGAGTATGTGAACCCATATCCTGACTAGATAAGACGACAGCAAAAGATAAGAAAGCAGAAAGGAGCCAGTGACGTTGAGGGGAAGTGAGAGAAAGTTCTGATTAATGAGCGAAACACAAGAAGGAAACTTGGACGAGTGAGCGAGCGACAGGGAGAGAGAGAGAAAAACGACAAAGTGAGTGAGATCTGTGCCAGAGATGAAACATATGTCATTTTTTTTTGTTTCCGCAGTCCTTTTGGTAGAGGGAGAAGATGTATAAAAAAGACTGTGCCATTTCCCTGCCCACAGGTTTTTATTTTTGTACGCTGTCGCTTGGTGAGTCAATGCAACGCCCCTCCAATTACCTCCCACTCTTTCGCCCCCACGCCCCATCCATCCCGCCCTTCAGCCCACGCACCTAACACACTCTGACGTCAGTAGCTGCTGAGAGTCGGGGGGGGGG